TTTGTTCAAATAAACCAAATGTGTTTTTTTTTTCCACTGTCCGACTAGAAAAAAAAAGAAAATTTTTTCTTCCCAAACCACACCTTATCAAACAATCAAACATGAAGAAAAGAATTGCCAATAGTTGTTTGTAAAACTGATCTCATAAAATTTTATCTTCATTTACTTATCCTATTTTCAGCAGCAGAAGTATAACAGACGTCGGTAGTAAAGTTAGCCGTTCAATTTCAACCAGGTCGCAAATTCATCTGCAATTTGTTCATCAACTTCTTCATTCATTACATTCGTATTTCCAAAGTATGACTTGTATTACAAACGACGTGACATCATTTTTTAACAACCAAGTTCAAGGAACATTAAAAACGTTGAAATATCTACAATGTTGAAGATACGACAAATTTAAGCGCTGAAAACAAGCAACTATTTCAATGGTTTATCTCAAAATTTTAGCAGCTACAGGAAGGCCAACTTAATATTATTACATGAAACTTTGCCTACAAATGTTTTGACCTACCTAATCAATCAAGTGTGTACAGAAAAATCTGGTTAATCCACAAGTTCAGTAAATATCGCTTAAAAATAAATAAAGGTAGAGTTTACAGTTACGGCGATGTTCATAAATTTAACGAACATTATTTCGGTAAGTTTTAGTTTGGTAACACACAGCAAGAGAATACCACAGAATGAAGGAGGATTAGCATACTAGCAAACCGAGAATAACTTTTCTGTTCACAATTGGCAGATAAAAATGATGAGAAAACAGAGAAAAAGTTTTATTTGTAAGATAAATTTGTTCACCAGTGAGTTTTATTTTTTTGAAATATTTGATTTGATTTTTACATTGACACAGGGAAGTTTTGCAAACGTCTGCTACTTCATCAATCTGATTTATCAGGTCTGCAAGCATTTGACCTAGGACACTGTTCAGGTAAGCGTAAGAAACTATTTGACCAAAACCCTATTGCACTGGTCAAGTATCAGGGCGGCTCAGAAAGCATTAAAAGTAGCCATTTAGACAGGATAAGAATTCGATTAGTAACTGAATTCAGATGGCGTAACAGCAACAAAAGAGCCATACTTCTAATTAGGGCTAGTTAAACACTTTCTTAAAGTGACTTGCAAACTTTAGCGAAAAAATGCGCTTTTTTAAAGTACATCATAACGACGATGTAACTAGCTTATGAACAAGCTACTAGTACCCCGCAGGGCACCGCCTAGAACTTCACCGATTTCATTTTCTAAGAGTTTCTTCAAACTGACTACTGTGTGCCTACAAGATCTTTGAACCACTCGCTGATTTTGCGGCAACTTCCAGTCCGAGAGCTCATGGATTACATAAGTTTGCATCAGCAAAAACGGAACTGTTTTTATGGACGAAACTGCTTTATCTACAGTACCCTCACTGAAAAATTGGTACTCGTTTTCTTACCGACCAGGAAAATATTGAGGCACATTCAATTTAGTTTTCAAACACATTTCCAGCGTCTTTAAAAGCCAGCAACCAGTAAGGTCTTCGGCATAGCTGCAGGCTTCCAGGGCGGGCATCTTCTGTGTCGTAGTTTTAGAGTGTAACTTTTAAGTGGCCTGGCAGTCCGCCAGCCTTCGGCAACATATCGACGTGACGTCACTGCTTTGTGCTTAGGATAATTGGTGACGCAATAGGCTGTACCGCTGCGTAGCTTTTTCTAAGCAGTGAAAGGATGACTGTTTTTGGTATCAATACCTGAGAGCATGATGTCTCAAACAATCTTTTTTCCAGAAGGAATTAAGTTCTTAAGTAGTTACCAGTAAAATTTTAAACAGTTGCAGTTTTTTACAGTCCTCATTCGGGTTAGTTTTACTTTCATTATTAGAACACAAGGCAATTATTCACTAACAAGTTCTGATATAAGATAGTGGATAAGAGGAGCTCTCATAATAAGTGAAATAAAAATTTGTTTTCGTTTACGCAGTTCTGCAAATTTAGCAGTACGGATATTACTTGTTCAAAACACTATCTTTTTAGTTTTCGTATTCACTTTTAAAACACCTGCACATTGTCAACGACTCATGTTAACTTGACTGCTGGGAGTGTTGAATATCTGGTCTACTATGAATGTGCACCTGAAATTTGTTCTGAACAAGTCGGTAAATTCAAAATTTTCCTTTCTTGTAATCGCAAGAGCGGCTTTGACCAGAACCACAAATTCTAATCAAGGTCTGTTTGTCCAAATTTGTTATGTTCGCATTTGTTCAGTTTTTTTGGTACAGTAGCTTAGCAGCTTCAAGACATCAGTTTAGGTGTTGGCTCATTGGAAGAACAGAATAAGAAATCGGTGAAGAAGAAGAGGTCACGTGTACCGAAGTGGCAGTCGATGATTGTTTCTGATTTAGCAGCGGAAAGAAAAGACGACTCTTTACAGTTCTGGAGCAAACTTGATAAAGAGGCTGCGATTAGTGAGCTGATCAGGTTTTGGTATTCGACTTCGCGTTTTATTTATTTATTTATTTGTTTGATTCTCACAAGCTAAGCCAGGCTCACCTCATACTTTGAGTGGTTGTCAATAGGGACTCGAGAATGAGGGAAAGAAAAAGACATTTGTGCGTGCTTTAACAAAAAACGCTTTCAGGTACGCTGTTAATGAAGAGTATAGTCGTCTAGTTGCCTTTGGAATGAGTTTTACAGGTTTGAAAGAAAAGAGGACAACTCAGTTTCAAGGTAGTGATGAGGTAACGTATCAAAATATGATTCTGCTTCTCATGCTTTGAAAAATAAACTTTTAACATTACATTTTGGCATTACCCAGAATTAAAGTTTGTTTTTAAGTTCTTCGCTGCTGTGTTACTTCTGGCTGCTCGTGGAATAAAAAATTACACAGCGCAAGGATTAGTTGATCAAGCCGCATCAGTTTCTCTTTTCTACTCAACCGCAACTTTCTTGGAGAGGTTGGAGCTCAAAGGAGATAAGGTTAGATCGGCAGCGTTAATTGTGCTTGATCGGATGGAAAAGTGGACCGATTTGAGATCAATTGACGAGCGTTCGATGGATATTGATAAATTGTTTGAAGGTTTGCAGAACACGGTGAAAGAAAAGGCAAGCTTTCGTATATTCTGTGAATACTTGTGCAGTAATGATTATTCTTTAAATTTTTGTTCCTGTTTTTTAATTGAATCTTTTTTTCAGCTGGTTGATTGGGGACCTAAAAAAGATCGTTTTTTTATGAATAATGACGACCATGACGTAATCGTTGGTAAATTGGGTAGCATGTACGGTAATATGCATATAGCGCAACCTCCTGAAGATTACTACAAATATCCCAGCGTAAGGACATTATTTTCAAAATGTACAGCTTTTATTTGATTGCCATCTGTCTAAAATTGCTATCTTCTATATCTATAGCTGCACTTTTTAGACTTCGAAACTGGTGGCCGAACTTAATTTTCCAGCTACCACAACGGAATATCGGGGTTCTCCATTCACTTGTAGCGGGTTATGTGAGGTGCCTTTTTGACAAAAAATACGACCTAAGTTGTTAAATATAATCAATTTTTCTCCTGGCAATATTGCTCCTTCTAATGAGAATATAGTTAATTAAGTGAAATTGTTAATTGCAGACGGATTACTTGAAAAAATTCAAGGAACAGCAGGCAGTTGAGGCATCCCATTTGTTGCGTGTGAGAAATTTTTGTAGAAAATCTAAGAAAATTTCTGCTGAGAAGCTGTTAGAACAGTGGGGGTGGCAAAAATCGCTTGAAGTTCTTATTTCAAAGAAGGTCACTGAACTGCGCCACTTCTCATGTAAAATTTTTTAATTTTTCAATTTTTATCAATTGTTTATTCTGCTTTCAGGATACTGATCACTTCAAATTTCCGTTTTTGAAACCATCTAATAATTATTAAAAATAATTCAGTGCGGTCGTATTTGGAAAGTTTGGATCCAGCCAAGTGTGCATCGCTAGTGTATTCTAGTGTTATTACGGCTTGCGCTAGTGGTCAGCAGTATATAGTTTTTTCGCAACTTATTCATATGCTAGCTTCACCAATACTAGATTTTTTCTACAATACTTTCGTTCAGAGGCTCGGCATCAGAAAAGACGAGGTTGCAAATTTTTTTTATCTATTTCTTATACCGTTTTCAGCTTGACAATCACCCTTTACAGACTTCTGGCTACTTTTGGTTTTACAGGTTTTAGAGGAAGTATTTCTGCGCTATGTACAGTATTTCTTGGACCAGAATATTGCCAGGAAGTGTACGTTACGTGAATGGTGGATGCACTGCTGCTCTAGAACAGGTGTCAATCCTGAATTAGCCCCTCCGTTCGCTGACTTGCATTTTGAATTACGCGGGGAATTAGGATCCTTCCTTTTATCACTTGTAGTGAAAGCGTGTTGTTTTCCGAAAAGTATGTTTCGTTTTATGCAGGTTAGATTATATTGTCTTTATCGGTACTAGTAAAATTAAATTCCTTTGTCAAAACGCTAAAGTTTCTGGTTTTTTATTGGTTTTTTTTCTTTTTTTTGCTTATTTTTTAGGGTTGGAAAATGGAACTGTTGTTATGAAACCTGCTTTTGCCATTCGTGATGTATCGCTAGAACAGGAAGATGTATTCGTGGAAAGTTATAAGGCAGATCTGGTCAAAATGGTCCGAATTGATCCTGCGCTGATGGACTTGTTTTTAGAGCATCAATTCGAATGGCTCTTTTTTCCTGTTACTTTGTTGCCTATGACGGTAATTTTTAAAGTATTTCAAAATTATTTTCATTTAGTTTTTGGTTTTAAAGTAGCTTATAGATGGGGCTTAATGTTTGATTAGTTTTTCTTTTCGAAAGATCGTAGCACTAAATTTTTAACTTTTTAATAAAAGCAATTTCTCAGGCACCACCTAGACCCTGGATTGACCATGGCAGGGGAGGCCCTTCGTACAATAGGCCTAGTGATGCATTTCGAATTTTAGAAGAGTATAGAAGATTTGATACGAATTCTGAAGTAAAAAAAAGGTTTCAAACAAGGTGCTTCTTTCAGTTTATTGTGGCTTGTGGTGAATTTTTACCTGATAATGCTTTAAGAACCTGCTAAACGGTTTTGAAATCTTATTCACCTTAGTGCCAGGAACTTTAAGAAATTGCTTCTTTGCAATGAAACTCCTGACATATTGTACAGTCACCATTTATTTTTGTTCGCTCTGAACATTTCTGGTTTTTGAAAAAAATGGTGATGCTACTCACTTCGCGCTTTTTTGGCGCATTTTTTTCTTAGAAGATTTTTACAGAAGATGCAGTAGATAAGTATAAAAAAGCTTTAATTGTCCGACACTATCTTAGTGCAACAAAGTAGACGATGAGAACCTCATGAACAAATCAGAAGATTTTGTTTATTATTTGGTAAGCCTTGGGTGGCATTACCGTAACTCAGCATTATTGTCAAATTTATTGGTAATAAGTAACTTAATAATGTGAAGTTTTGCATTAAGTGTTCATTTAGGCTATTGTATAAAAGTTGCAGTAGAAAACCCTCCATAAGTTTGCGAATTTGTTGAAAAATAGCTTATTTTGGCGATAAAAAAAATCCTTTGCTGCAGAATAAAATCCACCAGTCTGTTTTCTCCAGCTGAAGTTTACCATGTTCATTTCTAGAATTTCTTGGTCTTTCGACTTGGAACTATACGTAATTATGTGGTTAATTTGGAGATTTAGGCTTTTTTTTTTTTTTTTTGCGATTTTCGCTGTATATTATCTTGGATTTTAGTCAACTCCAGCATTCAGCAACTTCATATTGAATATAGGCAAGTGGCTTAACTTGGGGACTATTCTAGGCAAAGGATCCTGCATCAGAACTTGTTAAACAATTCCAAAGCTTCAACTAACTCTAAAAGAGCGTAGTATTGGTGCTGAAAAAGCCTCTACCAGTTTCAAGACTTTTCTGAAGTTTCTACGGTATGCAGTGCTGCGTGCAGAATATACCGAGATTACTTAGTGGGATTGTGTTGCCACATACTGTCAGGTTTTGGTTAATACTTTCGAACAGCAATAGTTTAGGACAGGTGTGAGCACTGTCATCTTGTCTTGCAGTCAAGGCTTATATAACTCAGAGGTATGAGCAACTCTGTTGTGCCTGCCAAGGATTTTTTTTGCATGGATTCAAGTTGCAACTTTGCATATATTCCGAATGTTTGTTGGTTGGAGAAAGTGGGATTAGTACGAATCAGCGAGTGAAACACGTTATTAGATGAGTTGATTAAAAAATCAGCATGAATACAGATATCCTTTAGTGAGGAAGGCGGAGTCTCGCCACTATATGAAAGAAGTTGGCAAATGGTTATTTTATTTTTTTCTATCTAAGCTCTTTCATAGTGCTTTTTTCTT